GAGCGGAGTGCCGTAATAGAAGTGTGGAGATGAGTTTTTACACGATTGCGTGAGAAAAGGATAGAATAGGATTTGGTAGTGGAGATTCGAAAACCATGATTAGTTATATATATATATATATATATATATATATATATATATATATATATATATTATATATATATATATATATATATATATATATATATATATACATACACATATGTGTGCGTGCGTGCGTGCGCGCGAGCGAGTGACTGAGTGAGTGAGTGAGAGTGACTGACTGACTGACAGAGAGAGAGAGAGAGTGACTGAATGAGCGACTGAGTGAGTGACAGTGATTAAGTGAGTGAAAGAAAGAAAGAGAGAGAGAGTGAGTGAGTGGGAGTGGGCGTGTGCATGTACACATATATGTATATATATAGAGATACATAATCATGATTTTTATTCTTACTCAGATTACTTTAGCTTGAAGTCAGTTCCATACTCATTCTCATATATCCAGCCTATTGGGCTAAATAAAAGCATTTACTAAACATGCAACTGGACTTTCGATACAAGGTAAGTTAGCAAATATATATTTTTAAAACAAGGTAGAACGGAATATTATAAATATAGAATCCACATCACTTGACAGCTTAAATCAACAGGAATTCAAATAAGACAAAAGTTCAAGGGGACACAGGTTTATATATTTACAGAAGACAACCCTACAAAACTACATGTTATGGCCAGGGCATTTCTAGGCACACACTACAACCAAAATATACAAGGCCAGTACAGAGGAGATAAAAAATATCAAACCAGTTACTCAAATAAATATTCAAATCAACCACCCTATCCACAGAGAAATAGTGGCAATGTATATAAGGTCTTAGAAGGTTAAACTAATATATCAAAATAAGAAATATTTACAAAACGTCAGCTCTTGCGGTTTGCCACCTTTTCAAATGTCAAGTACCATGTCTTATATATATATATATATATATATATATATATATATATATATATATATATATATATATATATATATATATATATATCCATATCTACAACTTCCACACAAAATATTGGTTGGAGAGTTTAGATGTAATTTGCTTAGTAGCTCTTGATATCTTTACTTCCCAAATTATTAGATTTCTCTTATATGTGGACACCTTTACTGAAAAACTGTGTAGGTCCTCCACTGCGAATACTGTTAAGTCTTGATATTTCTTTATATGCATTTCCTTCTGCAATCTGACAAAAATGCATTCATGACCTCTCCAGAAATTCATGAAATGACTAGATGTGATCAAAATATTTATTTAATCCCTATAAGAATATTATTCATACACCATTACACAAGCATATGAATGATTAGTGTATTTCAGCAATGATTTTTTAATGTAATAATTCATTAACATTCCCTTATTAGGAAAGTGACACAGTGGCACATTAATTAACACAAGTATATGTAAGAATTTTATTATGTATGCAATGTCTTGTATGTGCATGCACCCCCCTCTCTCTATAGGCGTGTGTGTGCCTATGCCTGTGTCTGTGCCTGTGTCTGTGCCTATGACTGTGCGTGTGCCTGTGCCTGTGTGTGTGTGTGTGTGTGTGTGTGTGTGTGTGTGTGTGTGTGTGGTGTGTGTGTGTGTGTGTGTGTGTGTGTGTGTGTGTGTGTGTGTGTGTGTGTGTGTGTGTGTGTGTGTGTGTGTGTGTGTGTGTGTGTGTGTGTGTGTGTGTGTGTGTGTGTGTGTGTGTGTGTGTGTGTGTGTGTGTGTGTGTGTGTGTGCAAGTGTTTGTTTGTGTACATATGATTGTGTATGTGTAAGCATAGGCAAACCTGTAGATGTGCATGTGTTTGCTCTGGGATATGTTTTTTTTTTGTGCTGATGCATGTGCACTGCATTTACACATACTGATACACAAAACACAAGCACACATGTAAATGCAAATATGCATGCACATGCACATATACAGACATGTGCATACAAACAAATGCAAATTAAACATTTGTTGCTGAAAGCCTCTGTGGATTCCATATAATTCTATTCTGACTCTCTCCTTACATTCTTATCATCAGGATGCAAGATTAGGGAATTTTAATCAATACACAATTAAAATGCAAACATTACACCTCTTTTTTACTGATTACATAACTGTATTACAGCCTTCTGTGTTTCAACTTTCATTTCATCTGAAATGCTTTGTGTGAGCTGACAAAATTACTTTTTGACAACTTGTGAAAACTTTATAGCTTCTAGTTAACACTTACCTTCAGTTAACAAACATACAATTTTCATAGAAACTAGCAGAAATATAAATATGAAGTATTCATTCTATAAGTTTTCACCTTTCGTTTAAAGTATGAAATATGAGCATACTCTTTTCAGCAACAACTATTTCTTTGTGGCATTATAATCCTCATTACAGCCATAAGATAAAAATAAAGTGATATAAGATACAGTAATAACCTGTGCAACAAGTCATAAAAATCACATTTTGTTAAATAAAGACAACAGGGAAGAAGCTGTTCAAAACAAAAATAAAAGATAAGAAAGCTAATAAAACTCTAAATGACAATAATGAAATCTCTTTTCAAACCTTCAAAAAATATTCTTATTTACATCCTCATAATGCATACTTTCTTTATAGAAATTCTTACACACTGAAAATAAGGCATAGCTTTAAAATTGCATCCCAATTAATCAAGGTATGTTTTTTTGTTGTTTTTTCGGCGACTTACATTTTAACTAAATTCTCACTCTGACTGATCAGCAAAAGACTTCAGTTTCCAGGTGGTATCAAGGACTAATTGCAAGTCTTACTCCCGTATAACAAACCTACCTTAACACTCTGTCAGGCATGTGTCTATGCTAATGAACACAAAGTTATAATTATGTGTATATATATATATGTATATATGAATACATATATATATATATATATATAATATATATATATATATATATATATATATATATATATATAATATATATACATATATATATATATATATAAATATATAATATATATGTAAAATATATAATATATATGTAAATATATAATATATATATAAATATTTAATATATATATATATATATAATATATATAATATATAATATAAATATATATATATATATATAATATATATATATATATAATATATATATATATATATATAATATAAATATAATATATATATATATATATATATATATATATATATATACATATATATATATAATATACATATATATATATATATATACATATATATATATATATACATATATATACATATAATATATAATATATATATATATATATATGTATATATACATATATATATATATGTATATATACATATATGTATATATATT